TTAAAAAAATCAAAAAAATATATCAATCAAACTAAATAACATTTGTGTGGCCATAACCACCCAAAACCTTTTATTCTGTTAACCTCATTAGCAATTGCTTGTAAATATCAAGCACTGTTATCAGAGAAGACGCATACTGTTCTATCCTTTTATTATGTGCAATGAATCTGTTTGTTTAAATGTCTCTTTTAAGAATGTCTGCGTTTTCCTTTCAGAAACGAGGGGCCTCACATCACATAGAGGTTTACTAGAATAAGAGAATTCACAGATTCAAAGATGCCAATTAATTTGCAAGACCAATTTTGCAGGAAAAGATTGATATTTCCATTAAATTCTGCAAATGAGTTAAATTTTCTCATCCCATTATACATAGAAAGAATAAAAGAGAACAAATTAATATGGTATGGAGGGGACAGTTTGCAAGCACTCATTAAATTATTTACAGATCAAAAGTAATATCCATGTTATATCAAAAAAAAAAAAATGTGGTAATTAATTCACAAACTAATATCCACAAGTTCTGCTAAAGGTAAGACCAAGAAACAATGCCTCTTTCTGCATTTCATTTTTTTTTATTAGAAAAAGAGTGCAAAGAAGAGGAATATATCCTCTAGGAATATAATTGAGAGTGATTTGTTTAATTAATTGATTTTTTTTTTAGCCCATGAGCTTTCACGTCCCATGTGAGCCTCCAAATTAGTCTATTTATTTGATTAAAAGACTACTAAAAGTCTTATAAGCATCTGGCTAATTAAGTGGTTTTCTGGTATAGAAAGCAAATTCTAATTTGCCTTTGTCCACACACTAATTTAGATTCAATTTTCCTTTTGTATACATCCCTAGGGCACGATTCTCATAGCAAAACTATTCTTGGCTGGTGGGAATTTTTTTAAAAATTTGTTTCACATATTATCTTAGACGAAGAAACTAATTGACATTTTGGTTAGGAGAATAATATCTGCAATAATTTCTTAATTTATGAGATTTTCGACCCGACAAATAAATTCAAACTCAAACTTAAGTTACTTATTAAAATTTAAGATTTTAAAATTGAAAATCTTAAGATACATAAAATAGATAAATAAATAAATAATTTTAAGTTCAAATTATAAGCAAAGTAAAATAGAGAAATTATTCTCAATTCTTAACACTGTGTTGGGAGATTTTTTTTGACAGGTAAATTGCTGAATTAATTAGTTGATTTCATTAGTAGCCATATATTCTTTTGTTGAACTGATATCATGTCTATGATAAAAAAGGAAAGATAATAGATACTTGATGCTCTTGCCAACTTAATGAAGGGAGATTTTATCTAATCTTATTTGAAACACTTCCCACAAATCACGCATGTTGTCTGAATGCTTAACCTTAATAATTCATAATTTATCTTCAATGTTAGAGAGCCCCCGTTAGCATGACCCATGAGACAATCAGACAAAAATATTCCCCTGCAATCCCAATGACTCCATGATTAAAACGATTGATCCACCTCAGTCCATTGGTCCAAAATCCAAGGTTCCTGGTTACAAAAACAATGGTGGGTTGATCAAGCATTATGGGCATGACCAGTGAGTAATTTAGTTAAGGGGTAGTTGTTTTATGGTTTATTATGTGTGAATTATGCATCCTATAATAATTAATAAAAAAAATACTCATCTAAATATTAAAAAATTTATCTTTTGTATCCATAATTATAAAATGTGTAATTCATACAAATCAGATTACATCTCGTTTTTTTTGTATAGCTTTGTTTTTTTTGGCCATTCACTTTTCTATTTAGTTATGGTTTGAAAAGGTTAATTTAAGCAGCCCTAGCAAATGTCAAATCTGTTGAATTATTCGCATATCATTACTTAAATCACTGATTATTTCTCGATTAAATTAAATTGATTAGTTTATGGAATTTAATAAAGTATATTAATAAAGCCGTCCTAAATTGTAAACAATTGGGAAGAATGTGATTAATTGACCCCATGGATAACACACCGAAAGAATGCATTAAAATGTAAGATATTTAATCAAGCTATGTACGTAATCCATGTGCCCTGCCGCAAAACACGCTCAAAAGTATAATGGTTTCTCATTAATTAGGTTTGATGCTAATTACACCTTATTCATCATTGTGAAGCACAAGAAATGAATTAGCTGGGCACCATAGAACTCAAGTTTCCCTGATAAAGTGCTCGTTAATTTGTTACAGAAGTTCCAGCCTAGTGGTTTGAAACTAATCAAATGAATAAAAATATTTATATTATAAATAATAATTATTATCAATTATCAAATATTAATTATATGCTATTCATTGCATTTGAATTTTGAACTACTATTTAAACACCCCTAAGATAAATGAATTGGAGAGTTTGAGTCCTTATTCTATTCGTGGATTATCTTGAAATCAAGAAAGAGATAAAGATGGGGACGCCTCAAAAGCTACATATTTTGGTTAATGCATTGAACCAACAGTAAAAGCCATGCTATACCATCGATTTCATAACATGCACCACATTTTTTAAATTTAATTTGAATAAAAGCCATAGGGTATGCATTGAATTTGAATTAATGGATAGAGAAGAATCATATTAGGTGGTTTTTCATGGTGAGGGATGAAGGGATATGGCCATTGCGTATTGGGTGTGTTATATGCATCATGTGGGAGCATGTGGATTTAGTTGGATAAAATGCCCAAAAACATGAACCAAAACAAGCCTAGCCTATCTATTCCTATTTCCTTTTCTTCCCTAAATGCAGCACATATATAAGTAGACCTCTTCCCCTCCTCAATCCCTTCGTAAGCTTTCAATACTTAAAATTCACTAGGGGTTTTGTAAAGGGTTAAGCCATGAGGAGGCATCAAGGAAGAAAGAAAATCAAGAAGTTCAATGGAGAGAAAAGGAGAATGGGGAATAGAAAAGGCTTCAAGAGGCCCATAAATGAAGTTGGGGGAAGGGTTCGAGTCCTAAGAAGGCTTGTCCCAAATGGGGCAGCCTTTGGGTCTAGATGGGCTTCTCAGAGACACGGCAACTTATATCATGTGCTTACAAATGAAAGTAAAGAGTCTGCAGTCTTCGGTCAACACATTATCTCCATCTCTTGACTAGATCAATTCTTTTGAATTCTTTTTCATTTTTGTAAAAAAAAAAAAAATTAAATGCAACATTAGTTTTGCTTGTATACAGAGTGAAATTTCCACAATTATTTATTTACCAAAAAAATTCGCCATACTTATTGGGTTTAAGTGAATTATATATTATGTGAATGTGCAAGGCATCTCACGCCGGCTGTACAGTAGGTATCGAGATGAATTAAAGCTATTCTGTGTTTAAATTTTTGAAAAAGAAAATTTTATATATATATATATTTAATGGAAATTAGGAGTCATTTTCCCTTTCTTTTTCTCATTATTTTTAAACAAATTGCTGCTAACTAGGAAACTAATTTCATGGGAAATATAAAATAAATATTTTATTAAAAAAATACTGTAATGTTATAATTACAATATTAAATAAAATTATACATTTAAAATTATAATATAATATTAAATAAATATAAATAATATTCTAAGTCAATCCTTAAATAAAAAGCCTTACATACGAGCCAATAGCCAATGGCTTGGGGGTGTTTAAAAGAGTCCGACTTTTTGTGGGCCTGGGTCATATCTAATGGCTTCTATTTCGAATTACAAAACATAGGATTCTTTTTAGAATTTTCTGTAAAATAATTCTCCTGCCATCGGCCCAACGGATCAGGGTAAGAGTCCGACTTTTTGTGGGCTTGGGTCACATGTAGCACCTTAGAAGGGTGTTATTAGTGAAACGGCGTCGTTGGAATCTGTGATCCGTCTCCAACCGTTGTGTTTTTGTCGTCGGTCGCCCACGCGCTCCCCTTCTCCCTTTGCAGGCTGAAGCATCGAGTGAGGATCTCGGTTGCCTTGTTCGCGTTGCTTTTTCAAGGTTTCCTCCCATGGCGTCGTCTTCTTCATCATCACCGGCTACATCATCGTCGTCAATAGTAACGACGGAGAGGAGAGGAATTCCGGCAGCTCAATTCGTAGAAGATGTCGAGACCTATCTTTCTCAATCTGGATTCGACGTCAACTCTGCCCTCGCTTTCCTCCAAGAAAGGTCCACTCTTTTCCTCTGTTACTATGTTCTCGATTGAAATACTTCTTTAAGTTTATCGACTTTGAGAATTGATTGATTCTTACTTGTTACCCTTGATTTGATGGGCTTCGTAAACTAAAGGATCAAACTTTGGTTTAGTTTTAGTTCAGTATAAATTGTTGTGTATTAATTTCGATATTTTAGTTTTTAAACCAGTGTGAAGTTAGAGGGAAACTAGTAGTAAAATTGTAATGATTTTGCTTCAAAAATATTTGCAGACTTCAGCAGTATAAGCTGGTCGAGATGAAACTTCTTGCTCAGCAACGCGATCTTCAGGTAATTTTTTTGGGTTAGCTTTCTTGTAATCTTTCAATTCTAAATGTTAAACATTGAATTTTTACTGCTGTTTCGGTATCAAATCACGAATGTAGCTTAATTTTGTGATGGAACAATGCTATGTTGACATATGTGCTTACCTCTAGGAGGCTGAACTGTTTTATGCCATTTTTGGATAAATGGATTTCTGGATGAATTTGCCAACAACTCAGAAATGATACTATGTTACAGTCTGCAATCAAGAATTCCAGAGTTTATATGTATAGCTTTAGATGGGAAAGGGAACTCTAAGACTATCATCTTAAATGCAGACAAGAATTATATTTATTCTTTCATATTTCCTGGATGGCAATGCAATAAGTTCAAGGGCTTTAATTTATAGACCATTTGGATGTTTAAGATCTCACTATTTTATTTACTCATTTAGTGCTCTGTTAACCATTTTAATTCAATTTGATTTTTATTTTTAATCAGGCAAAGATCCCTGACATTGAGAAGTGCTTGGATGTAGTTGCTACATTACAAGCTAAGAAGCGTACTGGTGAGGTTCGTTTTTTTATGTTATCTTATGATTTATGTTTGAGAATTGAGAAGCTGGGTTGTCTTATTTGAAGAAGTCAATTTATCCTGGATTCTGTATTTGTGGGTATTGGAATTGTAGGTGGTAATCACTAGTCCAACATTGACAAGGATTGCGAATGTTATTTATTTCTCTGAGAATGCATATAACTTGTGAAGATGATGTTCTCAGTTAAAGCTTATATATTTTTTGATGGGGAATGTGAATCATACTATTAAGTTGAAAAGGGGCTAATAGAGTATGTATTTTCTAATGCAATCCAGCTTGTACGTAGTTTGATGATAGAGAAACAGACTATATTGTTCAGGGAAGCCCTGGTAATTAATAGGTATCAGCATGCTTGTGTTTTCCTGAAAATTAGTTCCTGTATTCAGTCTATAGTCTTGCTTTAACCTTTTGACTACTTTGAATATTAACTTGGTTTTAGATGCGTATTGCACATTTGTATCATTAAATTGCAATATTTATTTGAAACTGATAATTGTGGGTTCTAAGCTCACTTGTTTTCTTCTGATTTTGATGGCCATTGCTTCTTTCGGGTTTCAAATTTAATCATCACGCTCGATGAATCCTAATCTTAGCATGCTAGGGTTCACTATTAGGAAGATATTGCTAGTGATCTAACAGTCATCCTATTGGATGGTCTTGGCTAACTAGTAAGAAAATCATAACTTTTAGGTTCTTCGGACACTTCTTAGGGGCCACAGTGTTTTATTATGTGTGTAGCACACAATCTTACATACATGTTTCTTTTATAGAGGAGATTAAAGGTGACAAGCTAGTTGCTCTGTCCTCTTTAACTTTCTGCTAATGGAGTAACTTATTCTTTGAGTTCTTTCTTTCTTTTTTTTTTGGGTGGGGTTGGGGGGTGGACAGGCACTTATTGCTGATTATGAAGTCTCTGAAGGCATCTATTCACGTGCTCGCATTGAGGATACAGAGTCAGTGTGTTTATGGCTTGGAGCAAATGTCATGTTGGAATATTCATGTGAAGAGGTCCAGCACTTTTGAATTGGATGCTTATGATGCCTTTTTGTGCTGTAATAGCATAGGAATAAGTTCTTTAATTTTGTGATGCAGGCCACTGCACTTCTAGAAAAGAATTTGGAGAATGCTAAATCAAGTTTAGAAGTTCTTATTGCTGACCTACAGTTTTTGAGGGATCAAGTGACAATAACCCAGGTATACTGGCTTACCATATAAAGTGTTGTCCTTTTGAATATTGAAATTAGATGGCTTCAGGCTGTTTGAGAAGCTTAGAAGCTGTCAATTCATTCTTCATTGATTTACATAACCAGAACAAGAGGAATTTTGATTGTATGTGACATGTTTTAGTCCAAGAGTTACTGATTTCATAAATTGTTGTTTTTTGAAATAGATAGCCGACAATGTAATTTGCATATATGTTTAAGATTACCTGATTCCTAGTGTTTGTGTATTTATTTACCATGAACAAACTGGCTCTATCTGTTGACTCTTCCTATTCAACAGGTAACTATCGCTCGAGTGTATAATTGGGATGTTCATCAGCGCAGAATTCGACAAGCTGCTGCTGCGTCCAAGGATTCATGAGTTAACAATGCCATCCTCTAATTCAGAGATTGGGAGAATTTTTTGTTGCCAAGTTGAGAGTATGGTCCTCTCCTTTCCTCTCATTTCTTCATATTTGGTGTGTGGGTTGTCTCTGTATTCTCTAGTGATGTAATTTTATTTAACTTGGTCTAAGGTCTCGCTATAGCTACGACACCATCAAGTTCCAAATTTGTGTTCATTGGATCGGATAGAAGAAAACATTAAATTACTAGGTGCAGGTTTTGATTTACGCTATAACTTTGGAAAACAAATGGAGTATCCCTTTTTGCTGCAATTTTTATGCTATTATTCCGGGTTTTGTTTTGTTTTTTTTTTTTAAAATTCTCACGCACTCTGTAACTTGTGTTATGATCTAGTTGGCAAATTTTAATTAATATTCTCATTTTGGATTCTACTCATTTGGCCATAAGCTATTGTTCAAAATTTGAAAACTTCAGAAGGCAAACTGGGTGGCAGGGCCCCAAGACGCCTTAATGTGAAAGAAATTTGTCAGAAAACTCTGCTAGATAAATCAACGAGGTGTGGAGATTGCTTTTATTTGATCTTGAATGATGTCAGACTACATCCCATCCTCAAAAAAGGGCAGTAGATCTAGATGTTTTGAATTATAATATCACGTTCTGCTGTTAGTCAAAAATGACAATTGTGTTTAACCTAATACTGCATGATCTAGTCAACCACTGAAATGATTTTATTTTGAAGATGGTGGAAAGTTTCTTTGACAATGTGGAACCATCAGAAACATTTCTCTGTTATTTTTATTGCTTGGCATATGAAGGTGAGCCCTGGACTTTGTTAGTCCAAGTTTTCACATGGGGTGTCCCTAGTCTCGATCATGTCGGTGACATTCCAAAGTCAAAAGCTTCTTGTTTCTGGGTATTTTTTTGTTGTGTTCTCCAGCACTTTCCCTCCACCCACTGCCTGCACCATTTGTTCACTCTGAATTTGGAAGCTTTTATAGTTCACATTGATACAATATGAAATAGTTCACATTGATACAATATGAAAAGGTTCCAATCGAGCGAAAGGCTCCAAATTTTTGGGTGACCATTTCTTTAACCTCACGTCTCAAAAGGCTTTGACAATATTTTCCAATGAATTTGTCAATGGTTCAGACACGAGATTACCAATTTAATACTCTGGGGTTTGGAAAAAGAAAGATGCTCGCGAGAGATCTGCGAATTTGGTATGAGCTTTCTTTATCATAAAATTGATGTGAACGAGGGGTTATGGTTATGGTTATGAACCATCGTTAGTGTGTTGTTATCAATCATTACCTAAAACCAAGTTTGACGCAAGAAAAGCTTTGAATGTGACAATGGCAGTCAAGATGAAATGTCTATTGAAATTTACAAGAGCAGCAAAAAATAGTAATTTGACCCTGAAAATCTGGGCCAATTTCCTCACCAGACAAACCAAAAATACGTGCATTTCTTTGGTCACCCTGCAAATTTTATTTGTCGATTATCCTCATGCAAAAAAATACTACTAGTAGTAAATATTAATATGAATGAGACTAACATTTAAGAAAATACTCTACTATTAAAGAACAACGTATGGCATACGCCTGATATACATGGAATCAAAATTGGTAAGGAGGAATTAAAAAAGAGAGACGTGCACGCAAAGTGATGGTGCTTTGTTTTGCTGCCCTCCTGACTCCTCAGTCCTCACTATAAAACAATTTTGTCGCCTCATCTAAAAACGCGTATTTGTTTTTGGGTTCTTATATTTGAATACTAGTAAAAAATTATTTTGCAGTCTTATTACAAAGCATCAGTATTCAATCTAAGGATTTTTCTTAATTTAGTAGTTATTAATATTTTGTAACATAAGCTTTGTTTGTATAAAAAAAATATATTAATTCTAGCTCTTAATATAAATTAAAGTATTAATTTTAAATTACGATATTTTATTTAATTAAAATTTAATTCAAAATTTAAAATTATATATTATTGATATCTAGATTTAAAAACTGATTATATTAAAATATATAATCGGTTTCTAAATTTCAATATCAACATTTAATATAGTAAATTTTTTAATTTTAGATTAAAATTTTGGTTTAGAAATGTAAGTTATAACTCTAATTTTTTTAAAAGTCATGATTAATATGCATTAATTTCTTTTTTGTACTAAGAATGGTAGTATATGGAAAATCTTTTTATATCATTTTTTTATATAACTTTTATATATTATTAAATGAGTGAATACATTCAATATCATAGTTTTTAAATGAATAAAAAGAATCAATTATTTAAATGACAAGTAAAGTTATATTAAAAATAATAAAAATTATTCCTAAATCATTTTACTTATCATAATATAATTAAAAAAAACCCATTTAAGTTTTCAACTACTCATTTAAAAAGTTAATGACATTAAGTGTTTAAATTTTAAAATGATTGACTACAAAATTACGTAACACCCACACATTCCTAAATTGATTCAAATTTTTTTTCATTTTCTTAATATACTTTACTAGCACATTATGCAATTCAAACTCATAATTTCTTATTTTTATTAAAAAAAAATTATCAATGAGCTCTTTGGCAAATATTCATACGCTTAATAGACTGTGTAAAGAATGAAAAACAATAAAAAAGAAAAAGAAAAATATTTGAAGATAGCTTTGAGTAGAGTCGTAGGGGATGTCTTCAAAATGCCGCAATTAGCGGAGAAGCGTTTCCATTTGATCCAACCAAAACATCTAGAAGTGAATGGGTCAACGAAATAATGACTGCTTCTGCTCCTTCCCGCCATTTCAAAGCTAACTAAATTTTCTCTGTATTTTTAGTACAGTGAAAATTATGTGGGTCTAATTTCTTTTTTTTTTTTTTTGGTAAAAGTGGGTCTAATTTCACGAACCGGAAAAATATATTAAGTATTTTATATACTGATGGTCAACATTTTTATTTTTTATTTTTGGAGTATTTTTTTTAATTCATCACAAAATCAATGTTTTGTTAGTATATGATAAAAAAAAAATCAAGATCAAGAATATATATTTTTTAAATGTATAACATCATGAGTCAATATCAATAATTTAATAATAATTTTACTTTTTTAAAAATAAAAAATTTTGAGTTCAATCATATAAAATAAAAGTAAATTTAAAATAACTTAATGAATGAAAAAAGGTTGCCACTAATAAACTTGACCATCTCAAGTTCAAGTTCAGTTACTACATTTGAATATATTACATTGGAAAAACAATTAGTTTTTGTAAATTTTAATGGTTTAAGAGACGTGGGAACACAATACCCCAGAAGTTAACCATTGTTGACTTGGTCTACATAAATACTCAAGACAAATAGTGGAGGTCGAGTTCAGCAAGCATCAATTGGATTGACACTCAAGACCAGTCTAGGGGGGCCAAAGACTGATTAACTAGTAACTTAACCAAATAATAATAATACTCATTTAGACTACAGGATATCAGTTTTTTTTTTTTAATTCTTGGCCTTCATAGGATATAAGTTTAATATGGTTAAATTCGATGCTTAACCTCGTAAAACAGAGGAAAATCTAGTTAAGGATCATGCTTAGGCATTATAAATTAATATAAATGGGGAAAGAATCAGTGTGGTCGTTCCCTACATCTAGCTAGAATCTAGCTAGCTTTTTTTCATATATTAATAAGATAGAATCAAGAAAAAGTGCCCTTTACAAATATCATGGTGGACATTGTCAACGTAATCTAGAAAGAG